TATGGGGAACCTTGGCGCATTTTCCAGGGTTCACTGCGATCTACTTTTCTTGGAAATCAATATTTTAGTAATTTTTTTAAATAAAAATTATCATCTTGATTTATTCCCCTTGATCTTGATTAATTGATACTGAAGGTTTCATCACATAATGAAAAAAGCCCTTTTAAAATTAATAGCTATATTATAATATCACCGATTAATTGTCATGTTATAGAGAAGGCTTATTGCGTTGGCTGGCACAGTTTCGATTAATTTAATCAATATATTAACTTTATTTATTTAAAGCCACATTATCTGCACATAAGTGCTTTGAGTTATTTTAGTTTCGTGACGGCCGAGTCAACTAATCGCTGAGCGAATACTATCTCCGGATTCTCAAGTGTGGCAATACTTCCAGGTTGGTGTGGATAACCAAAAAAAACAAAACAATAATAATTGAATGCTTTCTGTAGCTATATGGCATAGTCTACTTCGTGCAAAAGATTTGTATAGGATATGATTATTTAAGTGTATCTCATTTATAACTCAAGCACACTTACTTATAAAGTGAAGTACACAATTCAAGTGAAATATATTTGTTTGTCAACTTAGTTAGGCTGGGAGACAAACAACTCCCGGGCTGACTTTCGCACAGTCTTGCCGTTCACGTTGGCTGGCAGCTTATCGACAAAACGGACTCCGGCGTGCAGCTGCTTTTGCATTCCGTTCAGTCGCTTGGCCACATGATTAATCACCTCCTTGGCGCTAATGTCGCATCCTTTGCGCCGGACAACCAAGGCGCCAGCCGCATCGCCTTCGCGCTCATCATAGATGCCCACAACGCAAACGTCCTGCACCTGCGCCAGTTCCGCAATCGCACTCTCGATTTCCGTGGGCCAATAGTGCAGTCCCTGGTACTTGAGGATCTCCTTTTTGCGATCGACAATGTACAGGAAGTTCTGTTCATCAAAATAGCCCAGATCGCCGGTATGGAACCAGCCCTCAAAATCCTGCATGCGTCGCGTTTCCACGGGATTGCCGTAGTAACCATTCCAGGCCTGCCCTGTGTGCACATAGATCTCGCCGACCTGATTGTAGCCCTGGCTCTTGCCCTCCTCATCGACAATTCGGATTTTAATGCCCGGCAGTAGTCGGCCCGCCGATGCGGTATTACTAATGCCAATATTTACCGTTATTGCACCCACCTCGGTCATGCCGTAACCCGAATTGAACATGGCCGATTTACATATCTCCTGGGCACGCTGCAGCGTGGCCATGGACACCAGGCCACCGCCATAATTCAGCATACGAATGGGCAGAAGTGACTCTGCCGTGGCATCCGGGCACGTGATCAAGGCGGATAAATGTCGCGGCGGCACGACGGCATAGTTGATCTTATACTTCTTAACCAATTCCACAAAATATTCGGGTGCAAAGGGTCGGTTAGTGATGATGCGAGTACAGCCAAAAACGGTGCTAAAGATGAAGGCCCACAGGCCAGTAATCCAATCCAGAGAGCTGGACACAAAGATGACCGATTCACTGTTGACGAGCCTAAAAAATATAATCGAATTATTAAGAGTTTCTACAGCGAAAAGAAACTAATGAAATCCTACATGCTCTCCTGTATAAGTATACTATTCGAGATGCAAACGGCTTTCGGTAAGCCCGTGGTGCCGGAGGAGCACAAAATGGCCACCGTTTGATCACCGCCAGATTTAAGAAGTTCCGGTCTGCAAATGAGTAAACATATGATATATACTAATCAATTGAATTAGACTTGCTTATATTACTAACTGATAGAACATTTCGGTGGTTGTGGGATCCAACAGAGTCTCTATCTTGGGCACACCCTCAATGGGATCGCTGAGGGTATATATTTCCGGATGCCAGCCCAGTGTAGCCGCATGTATTTTCTTATAGTCAAGGCCATCGCAGAATATAAGCATAGGCTTGGTTATTTCAAAAACATGCTTAATGGTCGCTAGAAATAAAATTCGATTAACGGAGGCAAACCAAGTGTGGATTCGATGGGTGACAAACCTTCATCGAGCATTGGATTAACGGAATGAAAGGGTGTGCAATTCATTAGACAGGCCACACCCAAGGGCATCACATAGGTGGTATTTTTCGCAGCGATGCCAATTACATCCTTGTGGTTGAGGCCCCGCTTTTTCAGGTACTGGGCAATGCGTACAGCCCAGGTGATGCCCTGTCCATTGGTGACTGAGACGCCGTCAACATCGTTTATCTGCATAAGGGTTGGTGACATCTCTCAACTTGATCTTTCTGTTTTTTTTTGGAACTCACCTGGCACACATTTTTTGGCCAGTTCCTCATGGTATTGAATATGACCTTGCCCACAGACATATCATAGTTGAAGATGGAGCTTCGCCTGGCCCCACTCCAGGTGTTATCCTTCTCATTGTATGTGGTTGGTATTGCCGTCATATTTCTGGTAAGCCCGCTCCAAAACTGCCCACTTTACAACCAATGGATCCACTTGCATATGCGGTGCCAGACCGTATCGCCCATCTATTTATAATGTCAACTGCTTACACATGCTAAAGTTTTTGTATGGCAATCCAGGCCGTTGAGTGGATGCAATCGGTAAGTGGTCTACACCTGTTACATCTTATCAATACAATACCCCACGGCTTAACCGTCGATAGTATATCGGAAAACGTTTAAAGTGCCTCGATTCTTACTCTTTATTGTCTACTAATCACTATTTGCATTACATTCTACGGATAACGTCAAGCGTCTAAAAATTCACACCCTCTTTTTACAAACTTAATTCCTACTTTTAATGAAGCGTACCTTATTTCAAGAGACATTATTATTTTGAGACGAATTGAGAATTGTTGTGTCATTTAAGGCGCAATTAAAAGTTTATGCGGTACGAGCCATAAAAATCTTAGCATGTTATAAATATTGGCATTGTTAATTTTATAGATGGGCTTCCTCGCACAAGATATGACCTATTGTGTCGTGGATAGAGATAGGCAGGTGTTTGAATGGCTGAAGCTTCCGCTGATTTATGGATGTGATTTGGAATTTTCATTGATATTATTTGACTTTGAACTGCACAGATAAAACACAGTGCCTTACCGAATAAAGTACAACTTAAAAAATTTTCAACAGGATGTAGCAAAAATATACGCATTCATTGCACACTTCCCGATCAAAGTTTCAAGTTGTAAACTTCTGAATACAAACCAATTATAAATACGATTAAATGATATAAAAGTTATAAATAAATACTGTGTAAACATTTTTTAAATTACATTTTCAGCAACTATCCTCAGGTCCTTTTTAGACTCAATTTCTGTGAAGACAATAAAAATCAAATTCAAATATGCGTTATTGTCACATTCGAAAGCGGTTACAAATAGGAGAATAACGGCTATTTGAATTACCTCTTTTGTTTCCTTGTCAGTATTTTTCAGTATATTTTAATCCCCCTAACCCTAAAGTATACTATACTAAATTTAGTGAATATATACCACCGTTCCTTTTACTAATATTTGTTAATTCTTTTTGGAAATAAATAAATATGAAAATAAATACATATAATTAAAAATGTATTGCGCAAAGTTGTTGGCTTTGAAAACTAATTTAAAAAGTTCACATAAATATAACGACCCTGTGCTTGCGAAAATGATCTTAGAAAATCAAAGTGTGGCAACACTGCCAACAGCTGAGGCAGCCACTGATAACAGATTCGCATACACACGTTGGGGCTTGGCTCATGAAATAAATTGCCAATTGAGAATTTCAGGCGAATTTCTAATCAAAAAACAGTAATAAAATGGAATTTAAAGTAAACAAAACGCTTAAATATGGTAAATGTTATGTGTAACTAAGTATACAAAAATCAAACAAACTACTTAGGTAAAGACTCGAAGATACTTACTTATTGTTATTTACTTATCTGTTCGTTATCAGATGACACCTTCCTCAAGATCAACATTTCACTGCCTGAAATCAATAGTATCGCATCCAGCATATCAAAGACCTCGACTGTGACGGGTGATCATGAAGTCGCTTGGGCTCTGAAAGCCCTCACGCTTATAGATTTGACCACCTTGGCTGGAGATGATACTGCATCCAACGTGAGCCGGCTTTGCGTGCGCGCCTGTTTGCCATTTGAGCCGCAGCTCTTAGAGAAAGTTGTTGAGGCCAGCTTGCTGAAGGATATTCATTGTGCTGCCGTTTGTGTGTACCCCGCGCGTGTGGCGAATGCACATAAGACTCTGAAGCGGTATGGCAAGTTGAAAGATATCTCCATTGCCGCAGTGGCCACAGGTTTTCCCACAGGCCAATATGGCTTGAAAACACGCCTGGAGGAGATCAGCTACGCCGTTGATGCAGGTGCTACGGAGATTGACATCGTTATTAATCGACAGCTGGCGCTGGTGGGTGACTGGCAAGGCGTCTACGATGAGGTGGTGCTCATGCGCCAGGCCTGCGGCACACGTGCGCATCTGAAGACCATCTTAGCTGTTGGTGAGCTGGGCTCTATGGAAAATGTAAGTTTCTGGCATTACATATGGGCCTCCCTTTTTGATTTTTCTACTTTGTGTTTGCAGGTGTACAAGGCTTCCATGGTGTGCATGTTGGCGGGCGCAGACTTCATCAAGACGTCCACAGGCAAGGAGGCGGTGAATGCCACGCTGCCTGTTGGCCTGGTCATGATATGGGCCATACAGGAATTCAAGCGACTCACTGGCCAAATTGTGGGCCTAAAGCCGGCTGGCGGTATCAGAACTGTGCGGGATGCAATTGCCTGGATGACGCTGGTCAAAAATACGCTTGGCATGCACTGGCTGCAGCCCGAACTGTTCCGTTTCGGTGCCTCGGGTCTGCTCGATGATATTGAGAAAGTTGTTCGCGAGGGAGTCGCTAGACTGAAGCAGGCTTAATATAGTGTATTTTAAACTCAAATTAAGAGCAACACATCAGAAAGCATTTTAACGTGTACAATTGACATATTAGGATACAAATCATACATAGTCCAACAGAATTTATCCCTGTGTATAAACTTATATAAATATATTTTTGCATTTTTGTAACCGCCTACAATTAAATAACAGTTGTCCTGGACGCAGTTTAGTTTTTCCAGTTCTCTAGACATATTACACCACAATTGCAGTTGGTTTGAAGTTGTATGTGAGCTGAGCAGGCGCGGCCATTAGGTCATCCTCAGCCAGCTGTTCGCCGTGCTGCAGCAGCTCGACGGGCACAGCGTTTGGCTCCTTGTGCAGCTGATTGTCGGGCGTCTTTACGTGCATGTCAACCGCAAAGAAGGAGTCATCGAAATTAATGCGATTACGCTCATCCTGTTCCAAATAGATGGCCTTCGGTGCAACACCTCCCATTGCCTTTTCATATGTATTGAGCCACTTGAGATTGATGTGCTTGGCGCCTGCATTAAACTTTTTCGGCGTCTTCTTTGGCTTGTCGGCGTAATAATTTCGCTCCTGCTGCAATCTCTGCGGCGGTGGCGATATCTTCTCCATATGCCGGCTCTTGGCATCCAGCTTGGGATCCACGTAATCATAGAGCGGCAAATAGAAGTTGTACGGCTGATCTGTGGGTGGCAGCATATACTGATGTGGCTGTGACTGCATATCCACCTGGGCGTCCACTTGGCTGCCAGCCGATACAGAATCTTCGGGCTGGACAACCGGACCAAAGATTTCACCAGCACGCCTTAACAAATGCTCCAAGCGTTCAATTGTTATGATGTGCGGATGCAATAACTGCACATCATCCTGCATCTGTACACGGCGCTGCGGTATCGATGTCGTGGGCGTGGCAGCCACGCTAGAGCAGAAGGCCCACAAGAGCAACTGAAAGATACAAGTAATTCGTAACAGATCCTACGATTGCAACACCGGAAGTATACTCACAATTATTGACCCATTCGACATGGCAGGTTTTGTTGATTTCTTAGTCACTTTTATTAGTCCATATACGTTGCCGTAGTCCGTAGCGGTGGCCGTCACTTGTCGTTGCAAAGATCGCACAATGAGTAAGGCGGCCTGGGCACAACGAATTCATTTATACCCCACACACAGCAATCATTTTCCATTTTCCCAGTCTTAAAACGGAAGCTCTCGGAAGTCTCCACAATCAACGATAGCAACAACAATGCGAGCCAGCTCCAATCCAGGCACAGTTAGCTGGGAAACAAGTTTTCCCAGCGCAAAAGAAACAAATATATAACGAGATAAACTACACACATACACACACACACACACACGGCTGGCTGCATAATAATGTTAATGTAACAACCCAATCTCGAACCGCCTGGAGTTGAACAAACTGGATGTGAGTTTGTCACTGGTAATGAGTTCGTTGCAGCCAGAGACAACGAGCGAAATTGCGTCAAATGGTCAACTAATCGCTGCAAAATTGTCCAATCTCAGGCACTGGCCAAAGAAAAGTCGGCCGCTTGTTCCAAGTGCATTGACACCAACAGCAAGTAACTTGTATGCCAAAAACAAAGCTAGTCGAAGTCGAAATACTTTAGCAGAATTACAAACTTTTCCACGCTAAATTAGCGTTTAAGTAAATCTTAAGTTAGGCATTAAAATACTATGAAAACTTTCTCAATATAATTTTCCTTATCTTTAATGAACTTATGAAACATATCATTAATATATTTCAACAGTTCTCATTAAAAAATATTATATCTCTACGCAATTTAACTTCTTAAAAATTATCATGTTTATAAAAGCATAGCAAATCAAGCAAGTGAACACTTTAGAAATCTTCAAAAATCTTTATATTTAAAGCTAGAGCTAAACAAATGTATTATACCCTCTGATGTGAGTGTACAAAATTGTCGTTCACATAATTTCCGCAGCGTGTGATGTGAACTCGTTTTGATTGTTACAACGAGAGCCAACACATTTGTTATATTTTATCTCACCAGCCGTAAAAGTGCAAGTTCAAAGTTACAGGAAATACTAGACCGGTGGCAATAGCAACAAAAAGAAGCATTAACAAATTGTAACGATTATATCTTTTGCATTGACTCTATATTAGACAAACAACTATATAATTTCGGTACCAGTCATATGGAGGATCATGTTTGCTGTAATTCGGGCAAACCTTTTATGATAATATCCAGCGCTTCCAGGTCCTTGTTGACCGTTTCTTTCAACACCTCCATTGCGCGCTGCTGCATGGTCATTATAGTTCTCATCTCATCTTCTGCGTTCTTTTCAAGTGCATATTCAGGGAGGCCATTGTTGGCAAATTGACTGCGCTGCATCCGAATTTGGGAGAGTAGCTCACTTAGCCGACCCTTAAACTGAGTGGGCGCCGAGACGACAGCCTGCATATTTTGCAGCTTGGTGCGTAGCGCTTCTTCCTCGGGCGTTAATGTGCTGCCCACTTTGCGAGTGCATTCCTGTTTCACAACAATCTATCGTAGAACCATTTATTAGACACGTTTAAAATGTTTACACATTTTGTCGCTTACCCTCAGTATGCGATGGCTCATTTCGGCTAATTTGCGTTTGTGCTCCATTATTCTAGCTGTTGCGGAAGCATGTCGCCGCCGAAGTTCCTGTAATTCGCCCTCCACCTTCTTCATGTACAGCGCATGCGTATCTGTCTCCTGTTCCTGACATTTGACGCGCCATTTAAGATCGCTAAAACCAATCATGGGTACAGGTATGAATTGGCTGGCATCTGGATTGTCTAAATTAGCTTGACGCCACATGCGTGGATCAACACTTCGCGGAGGATTCTCTAAATATTCCTTTAATTGATCCTCGTCGGGCAGTGTAAGAGCCAAAGCTTCTGTCATGCCCAGATTGCTCAACTGTGGCTTCACTTGTGCCTGTCCCAAATAACTGGCCAGCTCGGTGGCAAGTATTCGCTTGCTATCATTTGGCCCATGCGAAAGCTGTAGTTTCTCCTCCACATAGATGACCATTTGACACTTTTTGTGCTCCAGCTCTTTGAGAACGTCGATGTGCACCAATAGATTTGGCTTGCTGCCCATTAAGCTGTGTAGCGTTTGTATAATCTGTTGCTGTTGTGTCCTTAACGTTAGAAAACATCCAAATTAATGAAAGTCAATCGCATATGAACACTGGCACTTACTTAACCGTCGCCAGATCCCGATCAAAGTTGAGTGCAACCAGTCCCAGTTTGTTGTCTTTGCCAGGCATACGACTGTAGCCTATAGCTTTGAAGCGGCACAGGTAATTCTCCTGCGTAATGTCCACCGGCGCAGCGCTTTGTGAGTAAAATAATTTGCCGGTGCCCCACATGGCCTGTAGATAGTTCCATTTGGCCACAATGTTGTCACGCTCATCGCCAAATATTGACACATTTAGAATAGACTGTGCAAAGGCCTCATCCGATGAAATCGGCACAGGCTGCTGCTGTGGCTGTCCCATCATAAAATTTGTACCACCAAATCCACCAAAACCTGGCGTCACAGTCGGCGCAGCTGGTTTACCAAAATCTGATAAAATAATACATTTAATTATTTGTATATGAGCTGTATTCGTGTGCAATTTACTTGATCCAAAGGCGCCGCCGCCAAACGCTGTCGGCTGGCTGGCGCCAAAGCCACCAAACGGTTGTGCTGTTGTCGCTGTTGCTCCAAATCCCGCAAATCCACTACCAGGCGCATTGCTCGTTGTTGGCAGCTGTCCGAAACCGCTGAATGCAGGCGGTGCCGATCCTATTGCGGGAGTTCCAAATAAGCTGGGCTGACTTGTCGGTGCTTGTGCACCAAAACCTCCAAATCCACCGCCCAGTGTAGAAGCCGGTGCACTTGTTGGGGCTGCACCAAAAGCTGAAGGTGCAGCACCAAACGCTGACGTCGACATGCCGCCTCCAAAAGACGGCGCCGCAGCTCCAGTTGTGGCACCAAACGCTGAACCAAACATGCCGCCCGCTGTCAACAGAAGAGATAAGCGAAACATAAAGGGGTCAGTATTTGGTAAGCATTGTTGCTGGTCCAGCTTCCGCGCAACATATCTTATCAGTGCGAGAGCCGTGCTTGATGACGGTTTAGCATCAGTAAGCTTTGGAAGCTGCACAGCAACAGATGTGTCTGCCTTTGCAATTATGATATTACTGATTATTTTCTTAGTAGCTTTGCTGCTGGCTTTCGTGGCCTATTTGGGCTACGTTATACATAAAAAGGGGTAAGTGTAAGAAATAAAGAACCTGCTCCACTAGGAGTACAATTAAAAAGGTCTCGGCACCACAAGTTCAATCGGTGCCTCATGGTTTGCTCCCTGTTTTTCATGTGATAATATGTGTCTGTGTACACTCCGGGTGTCTGAGTTCTATTTTGCACAATTATCTCACATTTCTCTAATATTTCAGCATCAGTCACAAGGAATTGCGCGTGCACAGTCTGCACGATGTAAAGAAGTTGCTTCTACTACCTTCAAGCGCTGGCCCGCAGCGCTATTTGGCCAAGAGGGCTTGACCGGCACTTTAACGCATGCAATTTCCGTGCCATTACCACCACCACCTGAGGAATAGCGAATTTTACTTACGTTTAGCCGGCGTGCTTGTCGCACCGAGCGATGTGTTGCCACCAAAGAATGACATGAGTACTACGATCTAAAACTTGCCAAACTATTTGCACACTCTTCTGACTTAGGTTTTATCGTATTATATTTGCTTTTTTATTAAAAAAATAGGTAAAAAACTAAAAACGAGTAATTTTTGGCGCTATCAAAACGCACAATAATGCTATATTAGGAATGAGAGAATTTCGATATCTTGGTGATTGTCTAATAATCGATAACTGTCCAGAACAGCACGATACGATACTTTCTGTAGAACGATAGCGAGGTAGTCAAAAAATCATTTTTTTGGCGAGTGACGTCACTAATTATGTACATGTATAATAACCAATAAAAAAATTCATTTCTCCATGATATTTTAGATACCGGTTAATTTTAACCTATGTTAATTATTTTATTTATTATTTATTTTTTTATCAGTTTATTTTTTGCATATGAACATCGCATCTTCATTTCCTGTGACGCATGTCATGCCTGGTTAGCAGTCTTCTTATATCGATAATTTGCCGGTACCCCCTGCAGCATTTCCCTTAGTTTGGTTGTTAAAAATAAAAGTAATAAAACATAATAAATATGAGTAAATACACCGCAAAGTATTTGGAAGACAAGCTGAAAGATAAGCTCGAGGCAACGTACGTTCAAGTTTCAGACGACTCCGATGGATGTGGTGGCAAATTCAGCGCTGTCATCGTCTCTAAAGCATTCGAGGGAAAAGCACTCCTGCAAAAGCACAGACTGTAATTCGCTCTACATTAAAATAACAAAATATTTGTAATAAATATTATACATTTAATTTAAGAGTTAACACAACGCTCGCCGAGGAACTAAAGGAAATACACGCTTTCTCGCAAAAATCATACACACCCGCAGAGTGGGAGAAAGTGCAACAGCAAGAGAAGCAATAACCGTAACCTGTTGCTAAATAGTGGAGCCCAAAACCTGTACATACCTGCATATGTGTGCGTGTGTGTGTAACCGAACCAACCAGCCAACGTCAGACAAATGCTCGCCAGTCGAAACCCAAAAACAGTTGAACAAAGAAAGTGAAAGGGAAACAGCCGATGAACGGAGCTACAATAAAAAACGCAAATTACTCGTAACATTACATAAAAACTCAAAGAAACATACATAATACAAATAAAGCGAGAACCTGATCTCTAGTGACCCGTGCTTGACGCCATTTTGCATAAACTGCTGTGCCCTCTATTAGAAATTCAAATATTCCGATAAAAAGATAAAATTGCGGTTAACAAAAAAAACCGCAGCAGCAACAACAATGCTTAAGTTCCAGGTTCACGCTCCTGGCAAGGTGATACTACATGGCGAGCATGCCGTTGTTTATCAGAAGCCCGCTCTGGCCGCCGTCGTGGGCCTGGGCACCAAGCTTCAGCTGCGCACCCAAAAGGGCAGCCAGGTAGCCAGCTTTCAGCTGGAGGCGCTCAACTGCACCCTGGAAATAGAACTCAGCGAATTTAATGCATTTTTGGTCAACTTTCGCAGCAAATACCCCGGCGACAAGCTGGAGAGCACTGCGAAGCTAATGGAGGAGGTGCGCGCAGAAGTGGCCAAGCAGCTGGAACGTAGCGTGGGCAGCACACCCAAACAACACACACAACGCGCTTTTATATCAATTTATTATCTGTTGGCAGGCGCTGTGCTCACGGCACCCAATCAACCCACGTTGACACTGCAATCTGGTTTCCAGGTTCAAGTAGACACCGAGCTGAACGTGGGCGCCGGCCTGGGCAGCTCGGCCTCCTATGGCGCTGCTCTGGCTGCCGCTTTTCTCATATTGGCGGGCCATTTCGATAAGTCGAGCTATTTGCAAGATGAAAACTTGGCTTTGATTTCGCACTGGGCCTATGAATCGGAACGCGTGAATCACGGCACACCCTCCGGAGTAGATAACACAGTATGCACCTACGGCGGTATTCTGCGTTTCGTCAAGGGCCAGGGCTTTCAGTCGCTGCGAATACAGAAGCCACTCAACATTTTGCTTGTGGACAGCCGGGTGAGCCGCAGCACCGCTGACATAGTTGCTAAAGTGCGTCACTTGGCTGAGGAGTTTCCGCAGCTTATTGAGGCCATTTGGCGGGCGTGCGAAGAGCTGGTCAACTCCGCAGTGCCATTGTACGAGAGTTTTGGCAATGCGCAGGATGACAGCCAAAAGTTCGAGAAACTCGAGCACCTCTTTCAAATAAACAACGATCTGTTGAAGGCGATTGGCGTCTCACATCCAAAACTGGAGCAAATATTTACGATTGCCTTCAAGCGTGGCTTCTTTTCCAAATTGACCGGCGCCGGTGCTGGTGGATATGCTATTGTTTTGCTGCCCGATAACTACGAGTGCAACGAGGTCTACTGGAAGCTAAAGGAGGAGCTGGAGGCGGCAGGCTTTGGTGTGCACGTCACCACAGCGGGCGGCGTTGGACTGCGTGTGAGCTCCTTGGAAGATTGATGGAACCTTCTCTTAAAACTGTATTTTATTCTAGATGTATGTACTCGTGGTACTTTGTTATTACTTAAAATAAACTACATATTTGTACGCTAACATACACCACTCCTAGCGCTGACTTCTGTCCCTTGTCTTGTATACAATTCCTCGATTCTTCATATCGCGCAGAGTCGACTGTGGCAGGGTGCCCGATACGGAGATTGCATAGATGCCGCGCGTAAAGCGTACTGTAAAGAGAAGATGCATGGGTTATTTGGTTGCACACACATTTTGGACAAAGTCTTACCAAGTCGTTGCCATTTTGCCACCCAGGAATCGTTGGGTGTTGTCAGTGCGATGATGCCATCAAAATTGTTACTCGTGTGATCATAGACATTGTCCTTGTTATTCTTCATGCGCAGGAACTCCTCGCAGTTTTCACAGCCATCAGTCTCAAATTGATCGAAGGTCTAGAAAGTATTGTTTAAATGAACTGTGTACGCGGCTAACGCTTAATACGAACCTTAACAAGGGAGCAAACCAAACATGCGCGCAGACCTCGCAGATCTTTTGGTATAGCATCAAAAGACATTTTAAACTATAACAGGAACTTAAAACTCTGGTACAAACTTATTTATGCATAAAAAACGGAGAGAAATGCAAGAAAGAACGTAAATATAAAACGATAGAAAAATGGCATGCAACGCTTCGTCTAGAGATGAGCCATTCGCTGCGTCTCGCTAACGATATAACGATAACTATCGTTATTACTGCTCCCTAACCTAACAAAAGAACTCTTGTCTCCGATTGCCCGACTAAATTTACCCTGTAACCAGCAAATAACTGCTGTAACATATATTAGTAAGTACTTATACAGTTAAAACAAAATTACAAAATATAAACTAAACAATTACAAACGAGGTCTGGTTCTCTTGCGATAGTCTTCCCGTGCTTCAAAATATAGCAATATGATTGCTAAATTAATCGAAGGATTGTTTTGTGTAAAGTTAAAAATTATTTTGTATTCCTGAAGAGGGATCGGTGGCAATGAAAGTTCATCCAAGTGAAAGTTACGAGCGTACAAATGTCCCTAAAATACATATGTAAATAATATCAATTATGAATTAAAGATAATGTAAACTCACCGAATATGGGCAACTATGATTAATGTTGGTTAGGGATTTTAAATGGAGCAATGCATATCTCTCCAAAAAATTACTGGGTTTTTTTTTATCAAGCAGTTGACAGATATTGTACTTAAACTTAAAAATAAATGGCTTATATAGATTCGTATGGTCCCGATAAAATGTCTCCACAAGTAACTACAAAATAGAAAAGGACTCATGATTATATTTCGAAATCCGATACAGAATTAAGTGACAACTTTACTTACAAACGCATTTGTCAAATTTCCAATTATATCACAATCCATATTTAATATTGATCGCGTCCAATTGATGGGCTTCAGAATACATGAAATATTTTCAAAATGACTTCGGTTTACTTTGCATTCAATATTTTTAATTTTGTAATACACTCCTTCGGCATGGTTCTGTAAATATTGCTTTTAATTTTGATCTCTTTGATTTCTAGTAATATTCTCTTATAACATACGCAAGAAATCACAAAAAATATGAATAGCTTCCAAAAATTTATAAACATGCCCTTTGACATTCTGTACACAAATGAAGAAATGGAACACGCAATTGGCTCCCAAACACATATTAATATAAATATAATTACACATAATGATAGGTAATTAGCGGTTTAAATTCGAATAGAGAGATAATTTTCGCTAAAAATAAAACAAAAGTCGTTAGTTTATTTACAGTCAATAATACATGGCTTTGCAAACCTATTGCAAGAGTTAATAGAACATTTAAAATAATTTATATCTTATCGCAACAGCTTAAAATTAACATCGTTAAGTTTGGAATCGCATTCGTTAAGTGTGGAGCATTCACATTGGGTGCCAGTTTGCTTACTTTGTTGGCGCTTATCTGTGAATGCCATAAAAGAACTTAAGTGGTGCACGATAATTGTTTTTCTTTCGTATTTTGGCTTGCCGGCAGTAGAACTAAGCTGTAAACTGTAAATAATATTAATCGCACTACAAGTGTTCAAGTCTAAACAAGGATGTCTGCCTCCACGACTACCACATCGAGCCCCACGGACAGCTCTAATGGCTCACTGGCAATTTCCTATGGTGCTGTGCCCGTTGTGCCCGGGACAAATTCCCAGAAACCCTTTACGCTCTCCGAGCGTCTAAGTTTCGGGATATACCGTTACTCCAGCTATTCGCCAAACTATTTGCCTGAGTAAGTCACAGGCTTTGTTCCTGTAGCTGTAAATGCACATACACACATGTATATGCACATGTGGGTATGTATGAGTGCCTATGCATATACATAGAAGACGCGTCCCGCCCATATCATATCAAAGTTGCATTTCGTAATTGTTGTTGTAAACTGCGCAGCTGTCGCTACTGTCAACGCTGTGGGTATTTTTACAGTTTGTTTTCATATACGAATTACAGAAACGTACTCGTCGATTGCCCAAACGATCAAACCTCTCGCTGGTCCGCCTATACGAACAGCCCACCACAGTTTCTCACGTTGAAACTCCGAAGACCCGCCATTGTGCAGAAGATTAAATTTGGTAAATTTGAGAAATCGCACGTATGCAATATAAAGAAATTTCGTGTTTATGGTGGATTGGAAGATGAGCACATGGTGCTACTGCTCGAAGCGTAGGTAACCATAGCCCCCTTACAGATACTGAATCTAATATAAAATCAAATATTTGCAGTGGTCTTAAAAACGATAATGTACCTGAAGTATTCAAACTGCGCTGCATGACTGAGGATGGCGCTGAGAATCTGCCCATACTTTACCTGAAAATAGTGCCATTGTTGTCATGGGGACCATCCTTTAATTTCAGCATCTGGTATATTGAGCTCCATGGCCAGGACGATCCCATGTACACATGTGCGCGCATGAAGAACTACAATACGCTGCGCGAAACTGAGATTATTAAACTGTGCCTCAAGCACTTCCGTCAGCAGGGTTATATGGAGGCCTTTGGGGCGTTGCAGGAGCAGACAAATGTGCGACTGGAGCATCCACTTATTAGTGAATTACACAAATACTTGGTTATTTATATTTATAACATTCAAATTAGATCAAATTTATTAATAATACCTTCTTCCTGCAGGTGGTGCAAGGTGACTTTGAGCGTGCGGAGCGGTTTATTGCGGAATGCATTGATGAGGGCCTAATGGATGAGTATTTAAATAAGCAGGACTATAAGCACACCTGGCATATGAAATACACTGAAAGCGAGATAAAACCTGGTAACCGTGGGGGCCATCAACTGGTGGTCGATGCCAAAAAACGTCTTATATATTTATATGGTGGTTGGGATGGCTACCAAGATCTCAGCGATTTGTGGGTATACAACATAGAACTTGACGAATGGAACCTGCTCTGCGAGCGCTCCGAGTCGTCTAATGGGCCCACTCCGCGTTCCTGTCACAAAATAATCTTTGATCCAATCAGCGAAAATATTTTTATGCTGGGCCGCTATTTGGACAACTCAATACGTACCAGCGATTACATCAAGAGTGACTTTTACTTGTACGACACACGTGCCCGCACCTGGATGCAAATTTGTGATGACACCAGCCAAGTGGGTGGACCACAGCTTGTGTACGATCACCAGATGTGCATCGATGCCGACAAGCGTACGATTTATGTGTTCGGTGGCAAAATATTGACGCCACGCAGCCCCACGTCATCGACAGAACCAGAATACTCTGGTCTATTTTCGTATCATATTGCGACAAACACCTGGACGCAGATACTCGTGGATTGTCATCATGCCAGCGCTTCTCAGGCGGATGTTATGTCGATTAAGTCGCGCATAACCCATTGCATGGTGTTTCATAATGTAATTAAATACGACTTTAAATTGAGTTACATTTAAAACTATGTGATTTGGCAGAAACAACGAAAGCTTTACATTTACGGGGGTCAGCGCGGAAAAGAGGATCTCGATGAGCTACTTACTTACGATGTGGATTCGCAGGCCATTTCACTGATGAACAAGGAGAATTCACATCTCGGGAACACGGCCAGCACGGAGGCAAAATTTGAGCCATCATCAGGTTACACGCTCCGCGCTACCATCGATTGTGATCGCGATGAAATATATGTATTCTCAGTATGTCATAGAACTTCCTCAATGAATTATTCTATAATATATATTGTTTATTCCTCAGAGCCTTAACAAGGTAAAGGACAGACGCGATGTTCATCATGGAGATGCTTCAAATTCATTTTGGGTTTATTCATTGCGCACCCATAAATGGTCACGCATCTATTACTGCCGGCATAATGCACAGGATGTGAACTCCATTAATAAGGCCAACTTTTTGGGTGCCAGCAAAGGCGATGGTGTACTGGAGCCATGCCCACGATACGCTCATCAGTTGGTTTACGATGAACTGGCCAAGACACATTATCTCTTTGGTGGCAATCCAGGCATATTCCAGTACCAGCAACTGCGCTTGGATGACTTCTGGCTGCTACAGTTGGAAAAGTACTCATTTGCTGGCTTTTATCTCGTAAAAATACTCATCCAAGTGATTATTACAGGCCCAAACGCGAGGAGGTATTGAAGCATTGCCGCTTTTTGGTGCGTAAGCTGCGCTATGAGGAAATGGCACGCTCAGATCCATTGAAAGCGATGGAGTATCTCAGACATAACATCTCTGACGTAATAGATCACACCGATTCGGAACAAGTGAATAACGTGAGTGCATTTAATTATGTTTGAACTCAAAATTGTTTCAATTGACTTTCATACAGTTCCACAAGTTAGCTTCCCTTCTCTTCAAGTCACACGACAAGGGCCAAGACTCTTCGCTGAGTCCCAGTGCTACGCCTGAGTTGTGCGCTGAAAGTGAAAGATTCGGTACAGGAACATCTGAGACTACTAAGGGTGGGTGTCTATAAATCCCTATAATAACTGGATAACTGACCTTTCCGCTTTTCAGTTGAAATGACAGAAAACGTTGGACTAGGTGCTGCTGAAAACATCTCGCTGGAGTCAAATGAGAGCTTGGCAACTTCCGGCATATCAGAGACTGCATCTAGTCCCAGTGGGTCGTCGTGCACCAAACGTGCGCGCACTGAAGCCACGTGCGAGCTTCAAAACCGACGCGCTTATCTTTTCAACAAGTTGGTGCAACTTATGCCTACAAGCATGGTGCAACCGGAGCGCAACCTAAGCGATTTTGTGGTCATCTAAAAATGCTGCGACTTTGCAATCAGTGCCAAAATTACATACAGGCGAACCAATATTTTTTTTTTAAGCTATTGAATTTTTATGTTTATTATTTTATTTGAGTTGTTGTCTCGAACTCTGAATGTGCATGTGATACTCAAATCGTGTTTAACTTTCGTTTTGTTTTTCAAATGTTAAGTTTCTTGGCCACTGCTCAGCAATGCCACATATTTAAATGAATTGTCAAAAAAAAAAAACAAAATACTTATTTCATTGTGATAGTTAATTTTTACAATTTAAAAAGGAAAGGTTATTACGTGTTAGTCGAGCTACATGAATATGTGAAAAGTGTTAAATTTAAATCTTAGCTTAGATATAAAACATAAGTTTGAAATAAACAATTTTACACCTAATGGATTGACGCTTACATTTTTTATTTAAAATTAGAATTTATTTTCACGAAATACATTTCACAAAACAAACAGCAAATAATATGTTTAGGAAGGCACTCTGTTGCTTACGATCGTTATCATTTCCATCTAAGTAATTCCTCGTCAGAGAGCAGTTAACCCAAATTGAATTCCTTAAGTGCATTTTGCATAATTGTATCTTTGACAGCGCAGAACACAAGTTTGATGTTTTCGGTATCTGTTTGTCAACAATATCAGACAGATTATAATTAATATCAAACAGCATTAAATCACAGATAGCAATACAACAGCTGCAGCTAAGCAATAATATCTATTTCTTATACATTTTTTACTTCCAAGCAAAGGAAGAGCATTTAAGGAAAGATAAAATAAGTTATAGTTTAGAACTCAACCTGTGGCTGTTGTGAAATGCGAATAACATTGACGCTCTGGATCGGGATTGCAGGCCAGGTATTTTTTCAACACGAACTGTTTTGCCGCGGCGTGGTCTTGTTTTGGACCTGCATACAATAATTTATCGCAAAGCTTAGAAAAAAAAGAAGAAAATGTCTACAAAACAGAAGCTCACCATCAAATTCAGGAAAATAGTCAATCATATGCGAAATCATAATTTTCTCCTCCAACAAATCTTTCTTGTTTAGAAAGAGAATAATCGATGAGTTTTGGAACCACGGATATGTGATAATAGTGCAAAATAAAGCTTTTGATTCCTCCATGCGGTTCTGCAATAAGATAATAAAATCAAGTAAATTGATAAAAGTAATTAAAAATTTGACTTAAACCTACCTCATTATCAGATTCAAACAAGATCTGATCGTATTCGGATAGCGCCACCAAAAATATAATCGAGGTCACATTCTCAAAACAATGAATCCACTTTCTTCTCTCCGAACGCTGACCGCCGACATCCACCATTCTATAAATAGTACAAAAGGTTGTGTACAGGTAACACGATTGTACAAAAATCAAAGAGTGAAACCTGAATACAATGCCATCCAGATCAAATGGATACTCCAGTATTCCAGTTGTGGGCACACGAGCACGCAGAATATCCTGCTCAGTGGGCAAATAATCGGCCAGTTCAATGCGCTCTAAATCGCTCAGATAGCTAAATACATGATTATAGTTTATAATAGATAATGACAAGTACTTGGTCAGACTCACTATTTGGCTGAATCTGTCAACTGATATTCTCTTCGGCGATCGTAGCACTCCTGTATGCCAGCGTCGGCCCACAGACATTTGATGCCATTCAAATATGGATCCTCGAACCTTGTGACTGATTCATAGTCAATGCTCATCACCAGTTCGGCATATTCCTAAAATATGATTCGATTATACTATATCCTTTCAATTAATTAATTATGTTTACTGCTTACGCGAATCTCTGGACCACCGTATTCTATTTTGAGCATATCCATGGCTTTGATCATGGACTGCATGGCCATGAATATGTTTTGGTAGACCAGTTTAATGTAGCCACGTTTGTCATCGTCCGAGTAGCCGCTGCCGTGGATAATACGCATCTGTTTGATGAACGTTGATTTCCCCGATTCACCAGTACCTGAGTAACATATTAAATAATTGCTGGGCTTAATCGGAAAATCGAAGCTTGGCACAGATTCACAAGCAAAAACTGAGACAGAGACTGCGACTAAATGGGAAATATATTTAGACATGGGTATATTTTAAGCAACCCCCTTGGCGCGGCGCAGCCAAATGGCTTCGTTGGGGAGGCAAACCAATTGAATGCATAATGGGTTCAAGTTCTTGAATGTTTCTTTCGCTTTTAAGTCCGGTTATGTGAGACTCACCCAGTAGGAGCAGCTTAAGTTCACGGCGTGCATCTTTTTTGTCGCGCCGCAGCTGTTTCTCGATTTCCTGATTGATCCGCTTTTGTTCCTTGGCCTCTTCCGATAACAAGCACTCCATGCTAACTGGATTAAGGGACGCTTACGCGTTCTGCCAAAAACTTTTCCACGCACCGGGACGTGTCTAATTCTGTTAGTTGGGAGCTTATCCTGTTGTTAAAATTTATCCTCTTGTTGGGCTCGCCTCTACAGTTGCAAACTTTGTACTTTTACCGAGAAAAATCTTGTTGATTTATGTATGGATATATCTTTAATAGTTTGTACTCCGAGAAGCTATAAACAATTATCAAAGTTGTTAGCCCGACGAGAGTCCGTAACGTTGTGTTCTCTATTTGCAGTGAACATTTCATATTTGGCCGATGGACTGGCCGACTGGCCGTGGCTTTGACACTGGCGGAGGCAGTCAAAGCGCATGCACCGCAACTACAACCACAACCCGGGCTAGTATATAGGTTTATGGGCACGACATTGGGCCGATCCACAGTTCGTGCAGCAGGTGGCAACAGATTCAGGAAACGTGCCCGTGCCCAAGTTCAAAGCAAGAAAGCTGATTTTGGTAACTATACGGCTTCTCAGCTTGGACTAGCGGAAGACCCGACACACTTCCGTCCCTTGCGCCCTTACACAGTACATAGAGCAGACATAAACAATATAGGAATATACGAGCAGGTGTGATTCGACCTGGGCCCCATGCTAAGTTATATATATGTTTTTTGATTTGTTTTTAAATCTCAAGAGAAATGGTTTTTACTAGATAAAGATAGATAATATAACTAAAGACATAAATTATTCTAAATAAAAAGCATTCTTATTAGATATAATAGTAAACCAAACTTTTCTGGTACTTTTAAAGTTACTTTCTTAGATTTTTTAGGGCATAATCTATGGCCCCTAAAATTGCCCTGTCTCCGTCCTTGGTTCAGTCTAATGTGTCATACTCTTGTCTGTCTGTTTTGGGGCTAGTATGCTGCTGATTTCAGTCGTATATTGAGGGTTTGTTAATCCAATTGTTACCGTAGACGAGTACATAGCAAACACACACACAGATACACACACACACACACATACACCGCCAAACCTCAGCCAAGTTTAAATAGACTTGCAAGAAATCCCGACAGCAGTTATTTTCAAAAGTCTTAAAAGAAAAAGCACTTTTTATTTTTAATATATTTTTATTTATATTATGATGTTTTTGGTTTTGTTTTTATTTTTAATATATATATATATTTAGGTGTACATAGATACTTTTTCTTTTGTTTGTTTTGTTTTTTTTTTTTTGGTTTTTGTTTTTAATTATCTAAAAAATTTCTTAGTTACCATTGCCACCTCAATACAATCAATTCTTTGTCTAGTATGTGTATCTTATTTTTTTTTTTATTTTAATATGATTTCTATGACAAATGTGTAGAAACACACACACACACGCACGCACACCAGTGCGCACACACGCACACATGCATACATATATGCAATTTTCATTGAGTGCAAATCCCACACTTTGTTGTTGTGTAAATTTCCATAAAAAAGTCAATCAATTCAAATGCTACAAGTTAAAAATCTTGCACTCAATGAAAAACTTGAATATAACATCTGAATGATGTATGTGTGTGTGTGTGTGTGTGTGTGCGTGCGTGCCTGTATGTATGTACGTACTTATTTAAGGACGTGCTCTTGCCTCAAGACTTAAGCTAAGCATGCAGTTTTTATGTGGTGGGGGGGATAGGGGTTAAGGGTTTAGCTTCTCGATTTATATATGTATGTATGCACTTATGTTTTATATGTATGTAGAAATATGTACGTTAAAAATATTTCCCATTCATCAAAATCATCATCGTCATCATCATCATCGTCATCATCATCGTCATCATCATCATCATCTTCATATCATGTCAGACCAAACTCAGCCTGACCGCCCCCCCTCCTATCGCATTTACAATATAAAGTTTATAAAGTAGCCTAAAGATGTGGAATATTATAATCATAATTTTCATTTTTTGGTTTTTCCTTCTTCTTTCGTTTTTCTTTTCTATATATTATGCATTTTGTTTTTAGCCTAGTTTTACATAATTTCAACGTCAAAGGGAGAGACTCTTGTTGTGGTTGTTGTTGTTGTTGTTGTTTTTATTATTATGTATTTAATTAGTTTTGTAGCTTTTCAAGCATTGTTTGAAATATGGTCTCTATTCCATATGCATTTATAAGTAAGTCTACCCAGCAAAAAATAACCCATTTATCCGAGATACCCAACAACTCAGAAATACATACACATAAGTACTTTAGTAAATACTAAGCTAAACTCATATAATTTAAGTTTTTTTTTTTCTTAAATTTTGTTGGTTTTCCTCACACACGAATTTCGAATTGATTTCGATTCGTTCGAAAAATTTCTATTCTTTCTTCGTTTTGTTTCTTTTTTCTTTTGGATTTTCGGCTTTAGTGAGTTTCAGTTTAGACAAGAATACAAACATTATACAATCGAGATGTATTCATGAATGCTTGCATATTCCCTTTGCCTGCAGTTCTTGAATTTTGTATATAAAAATACAAAATACTTGTACATACTTTAACATATACGGTTATGTATATTTATTATATACTTAAGTAGATCATTTTTCATTTTATATCAAATTCTTGCTCATTTATTATAGCTTCATTGTTGAGCTTGTTTTAAGCTAAATATTTACATACAAACTGCAAAAACTTGACTAACTTAAAACCAAGCCAACTAATCCATCTAAAACAAATGCCCAAAACAACAATCAATGGATCACATACATATGTTTTATCTGAAAAACAAAAAAATAATGTCAAACAAAATCGAGAAATTATAAACAATCATAATATACCATCTTATATATATATTTTGTATTTTGTTATATTTGTATTTTATATACGTAAATTGTATTTTAATGTTTCTGCCAGGGTCTTCTTCATGGATTTAATGAGCACTAGAAGGCACAAAACGCTAACTAAACCAAATTTTGTTTTCATTTTTTCATTCAAGTATGTTTGTTTTCTGTATTTGATTTTTTTCATTTCTTTTTCATTATAAATATGGTATGTTAGTTTATGTAGACTACATACATATGCAATGCGTTAAGTTCAAAATTACAAATTTTGCTTTTGCCAAAAAACTTAAAAACTTCTCGCTGAAACCGCCAAATTGTTTTTCAAACCCAAATTTCTTATACACATACATTATTATGGAACCAAAGAATGATATAAATTAACATTATGGAACTATAGCAGGTTTGGTATGCTCCCAAATAAGGATCTTCAGCTCGTTCTCTAAGGATTTGCCTGCGAAATGAATGTGGTCAATGTCAACCAAAATACTGGAGACTTTTCTCTGCTCACCGATGCAATTCATTGGACGGAAAACTATATAAGTATGTGTGTGTGTGTGTGTGTGTGTGTGTGTGTAATGCTAATACAAAATGTACAGCGTCTCGTCTTGAATCCTTGTAAAACCATCGACCCGAAGGAGCCGCTAGCATTTGTTTCATTTTATATAAGAACTAAACTGTTTGTATTTCTTATAGTTTGGTTGTTTTTTTTTTTTTTAGTTTTTGGTTCTGTTATGAGTCATCCTTGCTAAAACCCTTTTAGAGCACATACCAACTTTAGGATCTTTACTACGAACGTTCATCTGTCGACATTCTTTATTGGCAATTTTTTTCAAAACTTTTGTTCTGATCGGGCTTCTAATTTCGGCTAGCCGAGCATTTCGCTTCTTATGTATTCATCAACCTCATCTTCTTCTTGTAAACAACGAAAAATTCGGTACGCATATGTTTTGCCTTATATAAATACACATTTATTGACTTAATCAAGCTTTTTAAAAGCTAATCAATTCATCAATTTATTAATTGTAAAAATTTTGTTATTCATTTCATTTACTACATCTTCGGTTTACGTGGATTAAAGCTTTATACAACACACTGTTGAATCTTACTTAAATTCTAGATGCGTATTGGTATTACAATTATACGGCGGAGTTGTACGGTTGTTAATGGTAAATGGATATTGATGCCGATTACAAGTATATGTAAATGAGGTTACGAAAATGTGTTATATATAATCCTATATATATATATATATTTGTATATTTGAAATAGGAAAGTTGTTTTTTATTTTTCGAATAGCAAAACTGTGTGTTGAGATTAAAGAGTTACCCAGCAAAGGACGTTTAACTGACAAAGCAGCCGAAAAAATAATAATAGGATAAGCACAGTCGGATATAATAATTAGGATTTAATAACAAAACAAAAATCATTTACCTTGCTCTGCATTTCGTTTACCCCTCGCCCGATCGCTTGACTGATAAGTTCAAGTGGTAAACCAAATGTTTCTCTCTACAAAACAGTTCTAGATATATAAAATTATGAAAAACATTGTTTCATTCATATTTATTTTACACATACATGTATGTATGTGTGTGTGTGTGTGTGTGTGCGTTTTTCATTTCATTTTTAACCACATACATAGATAAAAATTGTGTTATTTGGATTTTTACATAAATAGTTTTGTTGTTGGTGTTGTTGATTTTGTATTTATTTATTTTTATTTAATTTTTTGTTTTCTGCTTTTCTGTAAATGTGCGCTTCGTTTTGTTGCTTTACTAACATTCTATAGCTGTAGATTAAATTAAACTAAAATTTAAAAACAAAAACAAAACATTGTCTATAACATAAGCAAAACAGACTAACAAAATAATAATTAATATATAAGTATATTAAAAATATTATTTGAAAAAAATCAAGCTACATTCCTTATAAAATGTTCTCCTTCGAAATGTTACAATTGTTAACAATTTAATTTATGATCATAGTTTTTGTTATCTTTATAGTATTATTTGTTTTTTTTGTTTTTTTTTTTGAAATTATTTTTATATTTGTTTTCAGTTTATGGAAAATTTGTTGATGGCATCAAGATTAGCTGCATCTGATAGTAGGTTCTTATGTATCTGTATGTATGTATAACATATAGGCATTAATTAGTTTAAATATTGATGATTATGACTGTTGCTGTTGTTGTTACTGACGCTTTAATTATAGTTATGCTGCAGCTATGAAAACGTTTGACAAACAGACGTGTTAATTAATTAAAGTTACATGTAATCTGGCCGTCATTTGTACAATGCAAATGCGTTTTTCACTTTTTGTTTTTTTGTTTATTCTTCCTTTACTTTTTCATTATTACGATATATAGTACTTAATCATCACGTTGATAATCGTTTCATTTTCTTTTTTTTTTGTGTGTGTGTCTGTGTGCGTGTATTAGTATTAGGATTTGTAATTTACATTTGAATGATTCTTTTTCGCAATACAAATTAATTCATTAATTAAACATTACATAGTTATCTGTGCATGTATGTATGTCTGTATGTATGCAATGTATGTATATACACATATTATGGGCTCGTATATTGTATATAAATATGTCAGTAAACAATAGTTGCAATATTTACGCTTTTAGCTTAATAAAAAATACAGTATTATATCTGCGATTCATTTGTTGTTGTTGTTGTTGTTGTTGTTTTTCATCTTTCTTAATTTTACAGGATTTGTTGTGATTTTTAAGTGATTATGAGAAACTTCTAACATTTATTGTTTATGCAAAATTACTATTTGTTTATAAGTTAGATTTTGTTGTTGGTTTCAGTAAAATGTTTATGCTTCAGTACGGCAAAAATTGTTTCCATTTGTTGTTCCTTTCAAGCTTTTGATTAAATTATAGTTATTTGTTTTCTTATGTTGGTTTTTTTTTTCTCATTTTTTCTATCAATTTTATTACAAAAGTTCTATAATAATGAATTTTAAATATTATTATTACTTTACTCGTACTTGGTATCAGATGTTTTTTTTCTTTTTGTTTTACTTTATAATTCCACACAAATTAAAATGTATATAGCGATCGCATTATCGTCATTATTATACTTGTTTTTGCTTTTTCCATCAGTTTTAGTATAATTCTACAATTATCTGCTGATGTTACAATTTAAGAAACTTGTGTTTGGGCCTAATTTATGCTTAATCTTCGGCAAACATTAGTTTTATGCTTTCTTTCTTTGTTTTGTTTTTATATTAATATGCGAAAAAGGAATTATGAATGTTTATATATTTTTATATATATAAACGCATATATATAAGATTATATATATATATATATTTATATATATATGTACATACATATACATTTTGTATATATATGTATGTATAATAAAAATCACAAAAATAGTTTTCTGATCCAAATCCAGTTTAGACCAAATTGTATTCCTTAAGATTGGATTGCAGAATTGTATCCTTTACAGCTGCAAACACAAACCTTATGTTTTCAGTATCTAAAGAAGAGATCAAAGAGAAATCTTTGTTTAAATCACATTCAAAAGGGCAAACATAAATTATGGATCTAATTATCATTGTAACCATTACCAATTAAATCACATTCATTAAGTGTTCCTAACTTCAGTCGAATCTCATTAAAACTAAGTGTAGTTTAGGAATAATAATAATAAGAAACAATAAAATAAACAATTATATTTTCCTCTATATTTTGTCAATCAAAATCAAATTAAAGCATACAAAATTAATGAATTCAAGTATAAAATCAATATATATAGGTTTGTTTATATGTTGGTTAGCTTCTCAATCGATATTCCATTATAATTGGGGGTAGTGTGTGAGTCGCTTAAAATTTTTTTATTATTGATCGCATGATCGCATGTTTCACAGCGGCGAACACGAGCTCGATGTTTTTGGTATCTAAAATATCTCATTTTATTTAGTAACTTTTCTCTGACACCCAAAAGAAGTTAGCGACTAGATTTCAGCAGGCGAGCAACAAAAGCAAATAATGATCAAAGGTCTAACTCGAGGTATTTACAATAGTTAAATGTCAGCAAAAGCAATCTCGCTATATACACAAAACAAGGAAGCGTTACTTACCTGTAGCACAGGTGAAATGAGAATAGATAATCTTTTCGGAATCTGGATTTAAGTCTACAAACATGCGCAGTATGAATTCACGGGCTGCTATTGCATCTCGCTGTGGACCTGTTAGCAATAAAAATGGGAAAAATAGTTTACAACTAGCACAACTACAAGACTAGCATTAGCAATAGTTCTAAGAGGATTACTTGTGGTAAATGTTACGTGAAACGAAGAGTACTTACCATCGTATTCAGGAAAATAGTCCACCAAATGCGAATACATGATTTTCTCCTCTAACAAATCTTTCTTGTTAAGGAATAGAATAACTGATGAATTTTGGAACCACGGGTATGTAATAATAGTTCTAAATAAAGCTTTTGATTCCTCCATGCGATTCTGCAATAAATTTAAGAGAATTGTATATATTGAAATAAGTAATTAAGAATTTTAATTAAACTTACCTCATTATCAGATTCAAACAAGATCTGATCGTATTCAGATAGCGCTACCAAAAATATTATTGAGGTAACATTCTCAAAGCAATGAATCCACTTTCTTCGCTCGGAACGCTGACCGCCGACGTCCACCATTCTGGATTTAACAAATATGCATTAATAAGGCAATAAATAATGAACTTGGCTAACTAAAAACAATGCCAAATTATGTGAATAATTAAGTAAGCGAAGAAGCTAAACTAAAAGCTATATAGTACGTGAAGAAATTAAATGAAATGCACAGAAATAAGATATGGTTGGAATGTTGTTGTTATACACATCAATTAATGTTACTACCTACTTGTTGCTTTAGTTCAGGCTGATTTGCTCAAAATTTTAGCTGATTATGTATGTATATTGAGATAAATGTGATAGATTGACATATACCTAAATACAAGTGGAAGCAATGGAAAGCTATACTCTTGTATTCCAGTTGTTGGATGACGGGATCGCAATATATCCTGCTCACTGGGCAAATAATCAGGCTGCCCTATGCGTTCAATATTTTCAAGGTAGCTAATTGGAAGATTTTTATTTAGGAAGATTTATAATTGAATTTTCAGTCTGTTTGTCATTAACGTAAAAACAGTCCGCTAAATTCTGTCAGCCTGAATGAGTTTATGCTTAAGGATAACCGATAACCGTTTATAGATCTATGTTCAAAACTAATCTTACTTATATTAAATGATATATGTTAAGACAAATTCGACAAATTGTGCTGGTTAGAAAGGAAACAATTAAACGAATAAACAATTAACCAATAACCAAAGAACATATTAGACACATGCAAATCAATAACATTGGAGTCATTGTAGCTACCTAAATCTGATCTCTTCTAAGTCAAAGGGATACTCAATGATCCCCGTTGTCGGCACACGAACTCTTAAAATGTCTTGCTCAGTGGGTAAATAATCAGGTTGAGCCACACGATCGAGATCCATCAGATAACTATACATAATACATATATAAGAATGAAATCGTATTTAGTATATATCAAGTTATTCCTTAATTTATAGAATATCGTCAATATGGGGACTGTTGTCTCATTTGGTATACTCGATCATCGAGCTATGGAAATAATCCATATCCAACAATTAACTCACTATTTAGCGGAATCTGTCAACTGATATTCTCTTCGGCGATCGTAGCATTCCTGTATGCCAACATCGGACCACAGCGTTTTTATGGCATTCAAATATGGATCCTCAAATGTTGTGACTGTTTCGTAGTCAATGCTCATCACCAGATCGGCGAGTGCCTGCAAAACCAATGGGAATCACATTAACAAATGTATTTCTTTAAAAATCTTCTTTTTTTTCTTAAATGGTACTCACATTATGCTCGCCAACACCATATGATATTTTGAGCATATCCATGGCTTTGATCATGGACTGCATGGCCATGAATATATTTTGGAACACCAGTTTAATGTAGCCACGCTTGTCATCGTCCGAGTACCCGCTGCCATGGATAATACGCATCTGTTTGATGAACGTTGATTTGCCGGACTCGCCCGTGCCTGCGCATATATGGGGAAAAGCAAGTACGGCATTAGTATGGTGTATAGAGAAGCAGCCAAGCCTGCCACAACACCGCACCTCAATCGTGGCAGATAGAGGAGCACTCTACTAATTAGCAAAAATGTGGCGATACCAAACAGCCGCAATAAATTGCAATTGCATTAAGTGCGGGCTGCGGAGTGCGGATGAAATTCAATCACACGACACACACACACATACACATATATATAAACTGTGTACATAGTATGTGCAGCGTATCAGTAATACAATTTTGCATACTAATTGAAGCCACACAGCCAGCACAGGGCAATGTGCCCCGATGGGCCAGGAGTGCAGCAAACAAAGGCAGCAGCATTTACACATATGTATGTACATTAATGGGTCAAGGCTGTTGCTGGACTCCTCCTGGCAGATTGATGATGGTTGCTAGGCCAACCAACCTGGTCGGGCAATACTCACCGAGTAGGAGCAGTTTAAGTTCACGGCGTGCATCTCGTTTGTCACGCCGCAGCTGTTTCTCGATTTCCTGATTGATCCGCTTTTGTTCCTTGGCCTCTTCCGATAAACAGCACTCCATGCTAACTGGATTAAAGGACGCTTACGCGTTCTGCCGAACCTTTACCACGCTCCGTGACGTGCGTAAATCTTTCAGTTGGATTGTAGGGCTTATCCTGTTTTGTATAGTAAAGTAGTTTTCTTCCCCCCCACTTACTTCAAGTTAATTGTTATTTGGTGTTGCTGTTTCTCAAGTTGTTTTGTTTTAGCCGAAAGTTGCTTAGATCCCGTTTAGTGTTTTGTTGCTCTCTAAGTTTGTGCTACATCAATTGTTGAATGTATTTGTTTTTAATTTCGATTTACTCAGTTGCTCGTGAGCATTTGTACTTTGGCGTTGCTCGCTGTTCTCTACGACACTCAGGCTCTCTTTGGCTATTGCTTGCTTCCTTCAAAGGATTCTCTTGTTTGCGTGCGGTGTGTGTTTGTCTGCGTGCGTCTGTGTGTGTGTGTGTGGGTTGTGCGGGGGTTTATTCTGTTCCGTTTGTAGTACTCAGTACTCAGTTGACTATCTTCCTAAACAGACTTTGGCGCATCTCTCTGACAATGACGAGTACAAATACGATGACCACATCGAGCACGACGACTTCAACTGATTTGCGTTGTATTCCGGCTGTTCATAAACACCTGCAAGCAGAGAAATTCCATTTAAATTTCAGTTATTTTATTTTTATTATTTTTTATCTATTTTATTTGGGCATTATTTGATTTGTTGTTTTGTTTTTAAATATAGGGCAGAGCAGAAAATTCAATTAACAGTACCTTAGCAGTTTTGGGAGGAAGTGCACATTATCAAGCCATGCCAAATAGACGCAAAACAAAACTTTCAACAAGTTCGTGCGAATTCTAGTTTCCATATATTGGCCTTGCTCAAAGCTAAATCAGTTTCCCACAAGGGATCATAAGCTGAACGAGTGATCAGCACAATGCTAACTATAATTCGAATTATCGTGAACACTCTATGCTTTGTTGGGTTTTAAAAAAAAATGTTTAAGGATAATTGAATTGGTATTATTCATACATTTTATTTCTACTTCTGTATCTAGAATAGCTTGAGGTTTTCCACGAAGAAAGTAATGCGGTTTGTTTATACATAAATGTACAAAAACATATGGGCAATATACATATCAGTACACATATATAATGATTAGACATACTATATATACACAAGAGCTTGATTACCATTTCTGCTGTTTTTGTGTAAACGGGGAGAAAATTATTAAATTACCAACAAGTTGTTCCCAAACTATTTCGCAAAGCATTCCAAAAACGCCCACCGAACGTAATAAGCATGTAAACAATTTAAATGGTTTTAGGAAACTAGAACATATAAAAAACGAAATTCATTTGTGTACCAAAAAACAGTACAATATTTAAGGGGAAATATGATGAAGAGTCTCAGCATGGGCCTTTTGTGGTTGATAATATACATAACATTTAAAGAGTTCCTTTGAAACTATTTGCAATTGTTGTAGGGTATTTGAACGTATATACGCATAGCGGAGTTTATAAATCACAGTCAGCTCGGAGAATAAGTGGGTAAGGCGATTATCTGGCGCACTAGACAACAGTAGCACTAGTCCGATAAAGAATCTGAGATAAACTCTGAATGGCTACATGATTTGGTACCAGCTTGATAAGACTTTAGGAGCTTCTGCCGGTCGTTAAAAAGGTTCAGCCATTTCATATATGATGTATATACACACAGTTGATCACCACCTCATTCTCACCCTGGGAACACACGAGAGCGCGCACAAGCAAATAAGTAAAATTTTCAACAGGTTTGTCGCAAATTCCCTGCTCAAACAAACTAAACCCAGCCCATCCACAACCACATCCACACCCACACCCATTTGGGGCCAGGAGGGCATCATAATAGCTGACTGCATTCGGTTAATTGTCGGCATTAGTCACTGGCGATATGGAGAACTTAGATCCGCATTATTATTCATACCTCTTATCAGTCGTATTAAAGTGTAGCATAATATTCAAAATCCGAGCAACAAGTGGCAAAGGCATAGATTAATTATATTAATATCATTTATCTATATATATATATACAAAGCTGTCTAGCCTGACTGACTTAAGGAATGTGATTCCTAGAATATATGAAAAATGCTTTCAAAAATGCTTTCAATCGGAAATCAAACTGATATTTAAATACACTACCAAAAAAGTGTTTAATCGATTTGTAATAATTTACAATTCGGAAAACTGTGGACATTCTCAAGTATCCAAGTAGTTTGAGATGTGCTCCATTGCGAAAAGTCCACTGCGCTGGGTGGAAAGTGTGGTTCAGGGTAGTACGGGTGAATTGGGGGAAATGGGTGAAAACAAAACACTTGAGCTCGTATATACACATGCATATATACATATATACATAAACATATACTTACGCATTAAGCTATCGGCTGTGTGTTGTTGAGAGACATTTATGAATAAACCTAATTGCAATTTGTAGACGACGATGCACTTTATGACGAGATAAATCCAAACGTTCTGCTTTTCTTGATATTCTTCTTGTTAATCAAATAAATCTGTGGTCGTTTTATGTACTAGCACTAAATAATAATAAAAAAAAGATTTTTGCTTTTCTGGTTTTTTTTCGTATTGGTTCCCTGCAGTTTTTTTTAAATCGGTGTCGTTTTTGGATATATATAGGTATATATATATGTGAAGTAGTATGTATGTATGTAATATTCCTATGTGGTTATGCTTTATGAGGTGATGTTTCCGTTGCTTCACGACGTGTCGTTTTTTTCTTTAATCGTTATCGTTTGATTTAGTTGCGGTTGGAAAACATTAGTTTTAAGGAACGTGTGTAGTTGGTTATATCTGCTTGTTTGTATATATATAAGTATTTTAATTAATTATTAAATGTTGCATTTGCTGGTCAAGCTTGGTTTTTTCACTGTCTGCGGCTTTGGATTAGTTTGATTTTTTACCAGTTTTTTTTATTTTTTATTTAAATGCAACGAAGATTTTTTATTTGGTTATTTAAACAAAAACTTTGTATGACGACGAGCACAACGGTAATTTTCTAGCTTTCTTAATTTCTTTATGCTTTTTCTTTCTCTCACACGCAACACTTAAATGCTTCTTTTGTATTTAATTTTCTGCATACTTTATGCTTCTTGTTTTTGTTTATTTTCCGGTATGCAGTGGAACTACAAGAAAAAAGAGAACATTTACATTGTAAGACTGGGAACACTTCGTTTATATGGAGCAACAGCAGCCGCAGTCGCAATCGCAGTGAAGTCCACCCACGCACCCCACCCAACAGTCAGTGTTCTCCTCCTCCAGAGTTCGCCTGCAACTATTATGTACTTTAATTAAGAAAAAACGTATTCTCCGTGAAATTTGAACATACACTGACGCGGCCTTTGTGGTTTTTTATAATCAATAGCAATATGCGGGTATAAATAACACTAACTTCTTATGCCACAAAAGGGAGCTACTTTTGCATTTTGTATAAAAAAAAAAAATATAGAATTTACTGCTCATTTGCAAAATGTGCTAAATAATGCCAAAACATGCTGTGTGCTCGGACAAGCAGTGCGCTTCAGTGTTGTCACCGCTAAATTTGGCTGTGCAAATGTTGCCAATTGCATGGGCATATGCCAGCGAATGCAAATGCGAACAAATAAAACACGAAATGCAAGTATTTAACAATTGAAATGTGGTCACATCAGCATAAGCATAAGTGCAAAATGCAAATAAGCATACAGATATCACTGATAGGATAGATAGATAGTGCCCTGTAGCTGTATAGCTGTTTCGCTCGCACCTCTATACACACACGCGCACTGCTATACACACAGAGCGAGGGCGAGGCAAAAACGAACATGAAAAAATTTTGGCCAGAAAATTGTCGATTCTGGTATGCCGAATTGTTTAACAATTATGTGCCATTCTTTTCACCTATGCCCATTACTTCATTGTTTATCTACTCGCCACACAAACACGCCCAAAATTTGATAACTATTCCTAGCAAGTTGGTTCTGGTATTTCTCAACTAGCTGCTGCTGCTGGTTTTTGTCGGTGCTTTGATATTTGATTAAAACTCACAACATATTTGATTTTGCATTGTTCGGTTAACGTTAACGCACGGCCCGTAGTGACTTTTTTGCTTTGTCAACTCTTAAATTTTCTTAAGTATTTACACTTTTTTATTAACGCAACACCAACACACACGAAAGAGTCACCGACATAGGAGCATGATTGCATGAATTTTACAAGGTAGCGTTTATGTGTGCGCAAATTGGACTGCGCAGAATTTTTGACGTCATACGTTCACATTTACCAGGGCTACGTAAAGAATTATTAGAAGGGATGCGGGAAACAATTTAATATCAGCACATTAAATACAATCTATCGAATAAGAATACATATCGAGTATAAGCCAATGTGACCAGCCCTTCAACTATTGTGCGTTTAAAAGGGTGACCATAGACGATGAAGTAAAAAGAGCAGTTTAACGGAAATATTGTCTGAATTATTTAAACTTTAATATAACATGTATTCTTTTTTATATGTATGTAAAATAAATATTCACAATTCCTTAAAGAACAAAAAAACAAATCGTATATATGTATACACATATACACACATGCAAAAGGTTAAGTAAACCTAATCTGTTTTTGTTAATTATTTAATTTAAACTACACACCATCTAAAAACCATTTCTTCCTGATTTGAGCTTAGATTATTTTTTAAACAAATTCTTGTTTTGTTTGTTTAATCTATGTTTTATTTGATTTTCTGTAAATTATTATCATTTGTTCAATGTGTTCATGCGATAAATAAATGTTTAAATTAATTAAATAATATTAAAATAATAACTTTACAGTACAGATTAAGAAAAAAACAAAGTTTTGCATTTCGGTTCTCTGTGCTTCTCGATTCAATTGGCAAACAAGCTTTAAACTGGATATCAATCTATTCGATTTTAATGAACAAAAATAATAAAGGAGAATGGATCTGTTAGTGACTATTGTTTGTTGTTTTTAATGTTATAAAGCTGGCGCTAGTTATGTATTTCGAGAGTTTTACTCGGTTGCTTTAACTAAATAACAGCTACAAATTAGATTTTAATTAAAATGAATAAAAACAATTTAATGTCGTTTTCCGATTTACCAATGAAATGCCAAAAAAAAAAGGTAACTTTTTGTGTCCCATTTTCTTCTTTTCTTGCACTCCAAAACACTCGATTGACTATAAAAAACTCGTACTACATTTTTTTGCAAAATACATAATATACAAAAGGTTATCTTTCTCTCGGCTGGCGACATGCTTGAAACATGTTGCTTGTCGAGTGATAGGCGTTAAATTGTTCGTCTTTACCCTTTGATTTTAACAAATTACAAATTAGATACATTTTGTTCGTATTAATTATGAGCACAATAATAGATTTAACAAATAATATATATATATACGTATATGTATGTGTATGGTGTTTATGATTTTAGATTTGTTTATGTTTTGTTTTTGTTTAGGCTTACAACTAGGAAAATAATATTTCTGAAACATTTTCAAAATATATTTTGTGTGCAATCATTTCTCAACAATAATAATAATAATAATAATAGTTATAATTATAATAATGCTTGGAAGCACTGCTTTAACAAATACAAGACTCTTGTTTATTGCATACGAATTCAAACACGAATTTCAATTATTCCAAACAATAAATTTGACAAAAAGAAGACCACAGGTTCTTATGGACAAGAAAAAAAAAGAGGCGTCGCAGCGCTGTGTAAAAATTTGGCCGAAAGTTAAGTTTGATCATCAAAATTTGTAAAATGTGTGTAAAATGTATTTTTGTATATAATTGTATAACAAAAATAGGGGGTTGAAGTTGGTGTTGTTTTTTGTTGTTCTTGTTGTTGTTGCTGCATGTTTTTTATTAGTTGTTGCATTTATCCCGTCATCGTCGCCGCGTCAGCTTTTCAAATGGGACGCGTAAAGTTGGCCGGAAACAGGCCCTTCTCGTTTGTGCCCTCCTTTTGACCCATTAGCCAGCCTTCCTCCTGTAAATTGTTAATAAAAAACTACATTCAATAAAGACAAGTAGTGAAATTCTATACACATAAAACTCGGGAGGGTTGACTAGCGGCATGCACAATAATTGGGACTGTAGTTGCATTCAAATGGAGTATTATGTGTGCAGAACTAAAATAGTTTTACCTGATCCTCGGGATCATCATACTCGATGACACGTATGGTATCGCCAATTTCAAAGCTCAGCTCGTCGACATCTTCCTTAACATAGCCATAGGTCGCCTTCACGCGATATAGCACACCAGGTGGCAAATCAGCGGTATTGGCATCTGTGAATAAAAATCCGGTACAAATTACAACATAGTTTCATTATCATATACATATAACTTATTAGTTGTACATCAAAGGTATGCATAACTCAGTTTTTAGTGCACAAAAGCAAGAACAGAACTTGCTGTTAATGTGGTATATATAAAAACTCGCAGCCTGCATGGGTTAGTCGGGTTTTAATAGAGGTAGCTTTGGTAGTATATTACGTCGTCAACAGCTCCATCCATAATACAAAAGACTTAAGCAGCGAACGTGCAAGCGGTGTTTAATTGGTGATCAAATGAATGAGTACGACTTAAGACTAAAAACCTACTTGCTGTAGCCACCTGCAACCAGTTTTATTTTTTTATTTTTTTATAATCTTTTTTCTCTTACCAACAATTGCCACTTATTACTAACGCAGCATTATAATATATGTATGTGTGTGTAGTTACTACAATTTTGTATACCCAACTATTTGTGAGAATGATAACGATATGTACAAGCATATTGTAAAATAAAAGAAATGCGTTATAATAATATGAGACGAGTGAAACAAGTAGTTGAAGATGTGCTGAGAGTGAATTTCAAAGTAAACAGCAGCTGGTGGCGCCATCTATTGTCGAGTGGCGGACTTGTAAGTCTTGATTAATTTGAAAAATCGTAATTTTGAACAACTGTTTACTTTGAAACGCAACTTGTATGCTTTGAATTGATTCTAAAATTTATATACTTGTATGCTGAGCATGAGATTAACGACTCGACAGATCGCTGAGTGCCCCAGAATCGATCGATAAGTAATACAACTTATATACTATATATATTAAAGATACGCCTGAAACGCACATGCTTTGGCCCGTTGTATACAATTTTGCGGTTAAACAATACGAATACAGATACAGACATCATAACAGAAACTGAAGCTTTTTAAGAGATACAATATACAATAGACAAGCCGCTGTCAGACGCTCAGGCTCTATCGGGCAACCAAAATAACTCCATTCCAACAAATGGAGTATACTACAGAGACGTTCAAAGTTGTGTGAATTGTGTTCAAGGTGGTGGGTGGGGGGATTGGTTGGTGGTTGGTGCCCAACAAGAGACGGCAAAACGACAGACAGACACACAAGTGTAGAGGAAATGCACAGACAGACCCAGTTTGTAATTTGTTTTGGTTTTGTTTTGTTTTTTGTTTGGAGTAGATCGTAGATTGGACGCTTACTCACCCTGGGGCACCTCGTAGATGCGTTCGTCATCTTCGTCGAAGGGATTTTTATTAAAATGCTTATTAACAGTTTGGCTATTAACTAATTGTTTTTGGCTAACGCTAACTGTTTCTGTATCTGTAACTGAGTGCGTTGTATTTGTGTTTGTTGTTGTTGTTTCTTTACCTAATTTCTTTTGCTTATGCTCCTCAAGCGAACTCGAATTGCTATTGGCATTCGCCTGACCATCCGGCAGCTCTTTCGGCTGCTTGCCCGGCTCTTTGGCTGTGACTGTGACTGTGCCTGTGCCTGTGCTGCTGCTGCCTGTCGTCGTGTTGGTCGTGTTGTTGCTGTTGTTGCTGCTGGGTGTTGCTGCTGCTGCCACATTTGTTGCCGGCTGCTGCTCATTGTTGTTGCCATTCAATGTGCTTGCTATTGTTGTGGTTGTTGTCGTTGTTATTTCCTTGCCATCTGTTGTCAATTCACTGGTTGTCTCCTCTATCTTGGCTGCTGTGGTTGTTCCTGTTCCTGTTGCTGTTGTAGTTATTGTCGTCGTATTGGCATTCGGGCTGCTCAGCTCAGCGCGCTCCACTAGCTTTGTTGTTGTGATGCCATTTGTTGCTGCTGCTCCTGCGACTGCCTTCTCCAGCTGCAGCACGGGACTGCGCGGTGGCTCTGAAAGCTGTGCCGACTCTGGCGTCGGTTCTGGCGTTGAAGAAACTGAATCAAATCGTGGCTCAAGCATTGACGAGCTTGTGGATGTTGCTATTTGGTTTTTTTTTTGTTTTTTTATACGTTGATATTGATTTTGTTGTATGTTTTGTTTTGTTTTGGTTTTTTAATGTGTGGTGTTTGTTGTTGTTAATTTTTATATATTTTTTGGGTAGGGTTAGCATCATTCCAACAAAAACAATATATTTTAAATTCATAAAAAAAGAGAAAAAAACGTCAAGTAAAAATAGTTATATATATAACGGAACACATGCATTGTTATGGGCACTTGGATAGAAGTTGACAGTTTTTCTTGTCAGATTGCTAAGTAAAAAGCAACAAAAAGCAAACAACATTCCATTTGTCTCGCACGAGTATAAAAAAAAATGCAGTTCTCAAAATTCTCTTCTTGATTAAATCAATAAAACTAAATAAATAGTATTTTTTAACTACTTAATTTGACCAGACCGCATTAGATTTGTTTTCTATCAGCCATATACAAAAAGTTTTACAAAATACAAGAGAAATATTTTTACAAAGCCCGCCAACAAATGGAATGTTGAATGTTAATCAAATTAGTTGGCGACAACTAACAAATTTTTCTTATAAATTGCCAAAAACTAGAAAAAAAATATCATTGAAATTTTGCATAAAAATATAATATGGTGCATAGAATAGATAATATATGAAATATATATACAAATATTTTATATATTGTGTATAATATTGAGTTCTTTTTTTTTTTTTTGGTTGTTTAATACATAAAATAAAAATATTAAAAGTTGGGAATTTATTTTACACTTTGGCGATGTGTAATGCAAATATTTTTTTTACAGTTTTGAGCAATTTATAATTTATATTTTTGGTTTTTTATTGAAAGGAAAAGGAAAAGAAGCGAAAAAAAAAACGAAATAAAAAACGTAAATGCGTAAGATTTCATAAATATCAAAAAACGAATAATCAAACGAAGAAAACAGTTAAAGTTTTTTTTTAGATAGTATCTGTAT